TATGAACCTATAGTCTGCTTCAAATGGGACCAGGCCGAAGCGCTTTCTGGAATTTGCGCGCTCGAGCGCTATTGATCTGCTCTGCATATGTGCGCTGTCTGAGAGAGCGAAAGGATTGGAGAGAGTGCGACAAGCTAACCGCCGATGTGGCGCGAAATCTTTGCGACGCGAACTTCCGCCATGCCATTTTCGGCTTGGTTAGGATTGAAGCAGACTGTAGCCTTACTGAGCTTGGAGGATTGAGAGCACGTTTGCGAGAGAGGTGCAAAGACCAAGCGAAGCAAGCGCGCGGGAACAGCCGCACCCGGGACCCGTCACTCCTATTGACACGGAGGGTACACTCCATTCATCGCACCAAACTCACGGAAAAGTTAATGTTTACCCTTTTGTAGATTTTGGACGATCGCCGGATGTTATGACCGCAGCGTTTTTGTCTACACAAGCACGAATGGACGATTACATCTACGTAATCAACTAGATGCTGCTCCTGTTCGTGTTGGAATCAATGGGCACAAAATGTACGTCCTGACGCAGACAGGACATTTGAGCACTTGGTGAGTAATTTTAGTGAGTAATCTATGCACGTAGTTTAACAGTATACAGATGAATTCTGTATCGTAGATGATTCTAACTGGGAATTTTATGTTCGTAGCGTGTTTCAATATCTGATACTTTAGGGATGTCGACAAGATGAAAGCCATTTTATCTCGGCAGTCGATTGCCGACTGTGTCGCAAAAGGTAAGCTTGGTGTCCCTTTTATGGTTTTTAACGAGAATACCATAGTCATCTAAAGGCTAGGAGAAATTTGAACGAAAGATTGATTTGGAAAGCTTGATCCTAAGCTTCATAACTCCTTGATCATTTTCTTAGCTGAGATTTGGGCTGGGCCAGCTTTCTGTTTGACGAAATGTGATTCTAGATGCAAACCTTACTTCAATCTCGGTGACGCCCATGGGCATCCCGCTCCTGGGCTTTTCAACTGGAACTATTTTCACGTTCTCACTGGATATGAACTGCTGGTAAGAGTTATCGTTTGAATTTGAGCTTTGCAACTAACTGTTTTGAACATTGATGAGGATGTTCACACGCACCTCATGGATCATCAAGTCATTTGCTGCAGTAATAATCATGTACTGAGTCTGTAATCCTTGTAGGCAAATTGTCGACTCGATGACACCACTAATGAAATTGTGCGACTCCGTAGATGCAGACGAATTGCCAGATGGTCCTGTCGGGCGGCTTCTGAAGCGGAGAAAACGGTGCGATTTCAGATTTTACCCTCAATAG